CCTGAAAACGAGGGCTGAATTCTGACGGACTATGTTACCATAAAAGTTAGCCTTTGTAAGGAACATGATGGTTAAGTTGTTCACCTTAATTGCATCATGGAGCGCGCGGTCCCAGAGAGATTCTCGTGCCATAACAAATGCGCGGTTGGCATAGGAGGTGTAATTAATGGCATTCGTGTCAATCTCTTGATCTAGCGCTCTTTTAGCGGCACAAAAATCACCAGCTATACACGCATTTCGAACGTCCGAGTTCATAGCGAGGACCTGCATCCAGTCTGTTCGTATCACAATATAAGAGATAAAGGTGGGAACATACCTTGAAATCAGAGTAGGCTTGGGCCTTGATATGAAAGAAATGTTTAGATGATGAAGATGCACGAAAATGAAGCTAAATTACCTGATGCATCACCCGCTCCTTGGAATCGTCCTTTGAACCATCCTTTGGAACATTCTTTGGACGATCCTCTGGCAAAGTGCCCTCAAATACTGGCCACTCTGAGATTTTATCCTGGCCTCCGCTGAGGATTCGCCTGTCATCGGCGGAGAAGGCGATGCACCACACCTCGCTAGGGTGTTTGAATGACACGATGGTTCGTCGATCGGAGACACGCCAGAGTCGGACACGGTTGTCCTCAGATGCGGAGGCAAGGAGAGTGCCGTTAGAATTTAGGGAAATGGCCCGGATGCTCTTGAGGTGGCCCTTCCAGGGATCACCGACCTGCATCCAGGTCGATGTGTCCCACTCGCGTATTGTCGGATCCTTACTACCGCCTGCTGAAAAAAGCCGTGTACCATCGGGCATCCAGGCGAGCGAATTATTGTATGATTTATCAATTGCAGTGTGACCCTCGAAGTTTGCTATGCATTCTCTCGTGCCCGAATCATAAATTTGGATACTGCTGTGCGTTGCAATTGCAAGAAGCTCGCCAGACGGCGAAAATCGAACGCAGCGGACACTAGCCTTGAGGACATCTCTAGAATGGTCAGGACCGAAGAAACCCTGACTCAGATCAGCCCGATTTCTGACATTAGGCTGGTGACAAGTGATTGGATTTCCTAGCAGCTCCCAAGTCTTTGTGCACCACAGCTTTATCATTCCGTCTTCTGAACCGGTCGCCAACAGTGAACCGCCAGGAGAAAAGGCTAGTGATGGGATCCCACCGGGGTGGGCTTTGATGGCTCGAGTGAGAGATTCCCCGATGTTGAAATCCCAAGCGATGAGCGTCCCTTTGTCATCACCACTTGCTATCAATTGCCCATCTCGCGATACCGATAATGCATTCACGATGCTGGATGAATGACACTCCAATCTTTTCAACAGCACGCCCTCCTTCATATCCCACAGACGAATGATATTCCATGAGGCCGTGACCATGCGTTGCCCGTCAGGGGAAACTGCGATTGCATTTGTGCGATTATTGATGACTCCAGAACCAGAACCACCATCATGATCTTCGAACAGTCGAAGGGGCGTGGGGTTTAGAATGAGCTGCGCCATTTTTAAAGTTTGATGATTTTGAGGACGATCGAAGTGAACTTTGCGGTCTTTGCTGCTGTTTTGCTGCTCTACTACTACGTCAAGCGTGGTATTAATATCGTGGGCACGCCTTGCTACTAATGTGTTGGTACCTTTAGATTTCAAATTTCAATTGTGAGAAGTGGACAACCAGATATGCCTGCACCAACCGAACAGTGAGGAGCTACTAGGCTGTCATTTCTTCATGACCGTTCTGGGTGTTATTCTGCGACTCGGAAACCTTAGATTAATGATGATTGTGACACGTGGGGATGTGATTACAACGTCAGGTATCAGAAACAAGGAAGGCTCTAACGCTGTCGGGAAACCAGGCTCCAGTCCGAGCTACGTCAGGGCCCAATCGAAGACTCGTGATGAATTATGCAGTGGCACAAAGTTGTCCCAGGAGCTTTTGGATAGCAATGGCTTTGCAATCTGAGAAATACGTTGCTTGTCTCCACTTGATGCGCTTTTGTATATAGGCGTTCCTAAACAAGGCTATTGTGCGCGTGTTGCGTGGTGTGCGCAGTACCCTGATCAGAATGTTGGCGATACCATGATTGAATTCCTCGCGAATCTCGGCAGTGAAAAGCGTAAGTGGTGCACCGGTTTCAGTTGAAGCCGATAGACTATTATAGGACTGACTTGAAGTTTTGTGTGCACTACAGAGGAAAGAGAAAAAGCGATAAGGACAAGGAAGAGATTGTATTGCTCGTGACAGTAAACGGCAGAACAGGTGCCGTGCTGGTCACAACTCACCATGACGAAAGGCCCCCATTAGTCATTGTTTGTTCCCGGACTGACTCGTACCAGACGTTGACGTTGCTTCTGCGAATCGCTACTAAAGATCGACGATCTCTTCTTTTCCATCCCAGGAAAAACAATGAAGCCTATGCAGAGTTCAGGTATATATAAGCCGGAAGGACTCAGCTCATATGATCCTTCACTCGCACTACACAACCCTACTCTGTAGTTGCTTGCCCTCTCCTAGCAGTAGACCATGTTGACACTCACCAACGTCACTTGGCTCGACATACTACTATGCCTTACTTGTGCTGGAGCGTATTTGCTAAAGTGGGGTTTTAACAAGAAGCTCCCTGCACCATATCCTCCTGGTCCCCCGGGGTGGCCTCTCATCGGGAACATCTTAGACATGCCTCACATCCGAATCAAGCCCTGGCTCACCTTTGCTACATGGGGCAAGAAGTATGGTGAGTACCTACCGTTTCACCGATATCATGCATTTCAAGGTCTTGTCTGCAGGTAACATCTCGCACATCGAAGTTGTGGGTCAACACATTGTGGTGCTGAACTCCGTCAAGGCTGCGATAGACATGCTGGACAAGAAGAGCACTCTGTACTCTGACCGTCCTATTTTTCCTGTTGGCGGTGAACTTGTTGGCTGGAAACACAGCCTGGGCCTTCTCCCTGATGGTGACCGCTTTCGCCGGTACCGCAGGAACATCCACCGCATGATTGGCAGCCGAGCCGCAGTAGGCATATACAGCCAGATCGAAGAGGTCGAGACTCGCCGATTCCTTCAGCGTGTGCTCACGAAACCCGGTCAACTACAGGCACATGTCCGACAGTATGTATTATTTGTCTTTGCATTGACATGATCTTGATTTTTATAGCACCGCTGGTGCCATCATTCTGCGCATCTCTTATGGTTATGAAGTGACGAAGAACGACGATCCTTTTGTTGACCTTGCGGATCGCGGTTTAGATCTATTCTCGCGTTCCACTGCTCCTGGTGCCTTTGTGGCTGATTTTATGCCATTTTGTAAGCCATAGTATCCCGATGTTTACTTCTATTTCCCTCACCATTTGTAGTGGTCAAAGCCCCCGAATGGTTCCCTGGTGCTGGCTTCAAGCGCCTAGTCCCTGAATGGCGTGAGACCGTCGAAAAGATGGTTTTTACGCCGTACAATTTTGTCAAGGATCAGATGGTGATCAACATCTGTAGTTTTGCGATCATGTGTAGAATTTAATTTTTACAGGCAGCCGGAATTGCCCTGGAGTCTTTTACTTCGAATCTGTTGGAAAACCGTACGTTGTCCGTAGAAGATGTGAAGTGGTCTGCTGCATCTCTATACGGCGGCGGTGCCGACACGGTTAGTCCCTCCTTATCTACTACCAATCATTATTTCTCAGAGTATTACCCTGCTTTCCTCAGACTGTTTCTGCAATATACTCGTTCTTCCTGGCCATGACACTATTCCATGATGTGCAGAAGAAGGCTCAGGCCGAAATAGATGCTGTCATCGGTCCTGATCGTCTTCCCTCCTTCTCCGACAGAGGTTCTCTCCCCTATACCGAAGCACTTGCTACAGAAGTACTACGATGGAATGTTGTCGTCCCTACCGGTCAGTGTATCTTGTTTATCACATTCTTCAGTTGCTGAAGGGTATCTCAATGACAGGTGTCCCCCACCGTGTCACCGAGGATGACATCCATGACGGGTATTTCATTCCAAAAGGTTCCTTGGTAATACCTAACATTTGGTTGGTACACCCATTCTCTGCATTTGATATTTTAACAGAATGCAATGTAATGACAGGTTCATGCTCAATAATCCACACACATATGCTAGTCCCTTGCAATTCAACCCTGAACGCTTTTTGTCTAATGACGGAAAAAAGCCTGAGACCGACCCCCGGAAAATCTGCTTTGGTTTTGGGAGACGGTGAGCATAGAGTTGGTTACCTGTAAAATGCTAACTTTGTGCTTCGCAGCATCTGTCCAGGTATGCTCAACTCACAGAAAGCGCTGATAAATATTCCGATGTTTCTTGTTTTTGATGTGCAGGTATGCACCTCGCTGAAGCCTCCATCTGGATCTCTGTTGTGATGTCACTGGCCGTATTCGATATTTCCAAAGTCGTCGATGAACGGTGTTGAGATCACCCCTGAGGTCGATCCCTCATCTGGCACAATCAGGTATGTCACATGTCTTATCATGTCCGACGTCGGTCTGAATAGACACGATTTTCAGTCATCCGAAGCCCTTCAAGTGTTCTATTAAGCCCCGCTCTGCGAAAGCCTATCGAGCTTATTGAACAGGATGCTAACTACTAAGGGTGCGAAGATGAAAGCATACATGAAGGTGTGCCACATCGCATTATGGCACATGTCTATATGTATCGCTTTATTTTGTAAGAATATTTTATGATGCGTGCTTTGGTATAAATCGGGCTACCGTCATCATGACAATCAGCCTGCAGTCTGGCACCTCCCTCCCATTGATCAAGTGTATATTCAAGTTCGTCCAATGACTGCAGCTAGGAAGTACATTGCTTTGATACGTTTATGCTTATCCTATCTTTGAACATAGAAATTCGGATGGCCTAAATTATGGTATACAAAACACGACTAAGCCATCAAAAAATATGCAATCATCGTCCTCCAAGCCAACTTGAATGGAATTGTGAGCACCACATCGAAAACCCACTGCGTAACGTATTTCTTGCCGTTCGATAGCTAGCGCAACAAAAGGCGACCCCGACGTAGAGTATATAGTGACCACCTTCGATACATTCAGTCCTTCGGTTACGGTATCCATGATACTAACGAAATCATGGCACCTGTGGCGGGCAGAGAAAGAGAAGCTATGAGACCTACGGGGCCGCACTGACAATAAGCACGGTCGTGCTCTTAAGGAGAGACATTATCTGCTTGGAGGAGTAAAGAATGATTAAGCAACTGAGACAACAAAGACGACTTCAACCTCACCGTCAGATGGATCTCTGGACACATCAATGTCCCAGGAAATGAGAAGACCGACAAAGAAGCGAAGAAAGCGTCAGAAGGACCCAACCACAACAGTTCAAAGGACAACCTACCCAAATTCCTACGCGACGGTCTACCCAGCAGTATATCGGCAGTCAAGCAAGCCCACAAGCAGCGGAACCCGGGCCAAGAACGCTGGGAACGCACATGATCCAAATCTCCTCGCTACGCTCGCGTGGCCACCATAGACCCCAAAATCCTGAACTGTTCCGTCATCAAACTCATTGGTAAACTCCCCAAGCGCCTAATAAGCCTCTATATGTACTTCTACAGCCTAGTAGCAACAAACTTCCAGAACCTGATGCGAAAAAAGGGCATGGTGAAAATGCTGCACCACTGCTGCGACTGCTGCGCGGCATCTGCCGCGACCACTGCTGCGATGTTCCTAAACGGTGAGTGCGCATTAAACTACACTTACTTACTGCTAATCACTGGAACCTCCCAGTACTTGTCCTCCGAACGAGCCATGGACTCGAGGGTGCTCCGATTCCTTATATGTGTATCCACGCTCCCAGAGTCACGGTCAGGCGATATCACCGAGATTCGTAGTACTCCCGGTCTGCAAGTCAGGTCTCTTAAACAATTATCTTGTTACTAAACGATCTTTCATACTGCATTGTAGTCTGATTCCTCCGCATACAATGTTATTTTTATTTCTTTTTAATGAGCGACTGCGTAGTCTGACGCGGCCATTGGCACCTTTCTTCGCGTTCTCGGTCCTCCATGGAATTTTTTTACCTGTCGCTCCTGAGCGTTGAGGCCTAGGTCCAGTCAGTCCAGTGACACCTGTGTACAGCCCCACAGCCCGGGCATATGCATGAGGATTGGCAGCTGAGCATGCTAATTTTTCGTTAGGTGTAGTACTATACGAGTAGGGCGGGCATGGTCACGATTGTCATTGTGTTCGTAACATATGTTATTAGTATGGGATGTATATGACTTTTCCGGGGCATTCCTGATGAACGAGTTTTGTTCCGCAGTCATTTGAAGCGTGCAGTTGACTGATGAGTGTGAATTTGTGTGTAGCAGGACGTGTGATGGTTTAGCAAGTTGGCTCGTCAGAAACAATGATTCTGAGTCCAATACACGTACTAGTACACCATGTTCGAAAACCATCTACCCAGTTCTCAACATCATCACTCCGTCCCTTACCGCCTCCTTGATTCCTGTTAGCCCAGTATTGTTGAGGGCGCTGCATTAGTAGGATAATAGTAGCTATACATGTGCTGGATTAAGTCCTGTTGTCCTTGTCAGCCTCGCAGTGCGCACACAGAAGATTGCAAGACATACTAGTAGAATGACAAATTTGACCATTGCTAGTGCATAATCTTGAGGATCAAACGACACAAGTTGCTCAAGCTACCGATAGCAGAAAGTCAGCTTGATTTGGAATTGAATATGAGTTACTGACAAGTGTCGCAGCACTTTGTCGCGGGCGTTGCGGTCGTCGCGGTCATCGCGGGCACCTTCTTTCCATATTTGGGGGGTGCTGCGATATGGTGCCCGCGATGACCGCGACGACCGCGACGACCGCGACGACCGCGACGACCGCAACGACCGCGACGACCGCGACGCCCGCGACAAGGTGCTGCGACACTAGTATACTTACTTGCTGAAAATAAACTCGAGTTGTATAATACATGGTCCTCCAGCACTTATTTTGCACATCGTAGTATTGCAGACTCGCATTAGAATAAATACTTCCATCAGAGAACCGATGAACAAATGAGAAGGTCATCTAAAGCAATATATAATACAGCGTCACAACAATCTTCGTATATCTGCTGACCGCTTCACATGGGAATATTTGGCATTGTCGAGGAAACAACAATTTGAAAGCACACCAGCTGAGGAACGATATTGGCTAAGTGATCTCTTTCATTTGAATGTGTCTGAGAAAATATAAACGGGCTCAGGTTCAAAGCACACCAGCTGAGGAACGATGTTGGCTAAGTGATATCTTTCATTTGAATGTGTCTAAGCACCAGCTGAGGAACGATATTGGCTAAGTGATCCCTTTCATTTGAATGTGTCTAAGAAAACATAAACAAGCTCAGGTTCAAAGCACACCAGCCGAGGAACGATATTGGCTGAGTGATCTCTTTCATTTGAATGTGTCGAAGAAAACATAAACGGGCTCAGGTTCATCAAGTTTAATATGGACAGGTGCTGAGAGGGAAAAGAAAGAAGGTTGCGATTTGTGAAGGTGAAAGACACTGCGATAATGTTTAATTGTTAGCTGCTAGATATCGATTGGGGATCCGTGCGAAAAAGTGTTGCTTTTGCGGAGCAGCGGATGCGTTCAATAGGTGAGCGACAGATCAACTTTTGTTCCGCTTTGACTTTTAACGACATCTACTTGAAAATTCTAACTTTCATCATTAATGGGACAATTTTTCAACGTGTAATGAAAGCAAATACCTTCCAGAGGATTACAGAGTTGACAGCAGTGAGTCATCCTTCCCATCGGTGTTTCCCTTATCATTCAACGAACATCTCATGTATTTCGCCTCATACCAGTTACATTGCTTCGCTTGCGACAGACGTCGTGCCTCTATGACTCAGTACCTGGGCTCGCGAGTTGACAGCAGTGAGTCATGCTTTCCATCGGTGTTTCCCTCATCATTCAACGAACATCTCATGTATTTCGCCCCACATCAGTTACATTACTCCACTTGCGACAGACGTCGTGCCTCTATGACTCAGTACCTGGGTTCGCGAGTTGACAGCAGTGAGTCATGCTTCGCATCGGTGTTTACCTCATCATTCAATGAACATATCATGTATTTCGCCCCGTACCAGTTACATTGCTTCACTTGCGACAGATGTTGTGCCTCTATGGTTCAGTGCCTGGGCTCGCAAGTTGACAACAGTGAGTCATGCTTCACATCGGTTTTTTCCTTATCATTCAACGAACGTCTCATGCATTTACAGAAATAAAAACTTTTGGAAACTGATGGGCAATACCGCACATTTTTGTCTAGTCATCTACAAAACAAATTGATTTGTTAAAATCACCACTTACGAAGGTGTCTTGTCATAGCTAATTAAACGAGCAGAAGAGACTTATTGACAGCTCGCGGCGCACTGTCAGATATATGGATTCAAAGACAAATGTTTTGATATTAATAATATTAGTAGCATATGGTACAGTGTAAATGTAGGACTGCACTGAATGCAGTGCAGCAAAGAGTAGTCGATGCGATGATTATAGATCCTTGAAGGACAGCGGAAAAAGCAAGTGAAAATATTAAGTAGCTATTCGGAGTCAAACACGGCGTCTTCCATCTCTTGTCTCTGCGCAGCAAGTGCGCTCACAGACATCCGGGAAACAACGTCCATCGTCAAGTCTTCCCGATGATTTCTGCCGAAAACTTTTCTGCACAGGGTATTAGCGATGCAAGTGAGTTACTGACGATCAATGACTGACCTAGTCCACCATTCAAGGAGCTCTCTAACTCTGGCTTGTGCCGCCGGACCCGGGGCGTCCTCGAAGAAATCCACGATGTTGTCCCAGAAAATTTGATAATCGAAATCACCGTCTACAGTGCGCCAAGACGTGATATTAGAGAGTGCAAAATGGATCTGCAAAAATAAATTTCAGCCTTACAGTCAGGGACGAGCATTGATGATTACTTGGCAAGTTGCATAAGCGATCGCACGAGGAGTGACTTTCCTCATACCTATGATAGAAGCCACACACGTTTTCACTTTAGCCTGATCTGATCGTCTCCTGGCACAACGGTCGTTCTCAATGATATTGGCGCCGTCGCCGTCGCCATCCACTTCGTTGGCAGAGGACGGAGAGGTAAAGATAGCTTTGAACCCCTGCGATGCGATGAGATGCGAATCAGTTGGAAAAATCAAGTTACTCACCATAACCAACAGCTTCGACTTGAAGAGACCACATTTGAGATTCTTGGCGTCAGCTTGGTAGTCTTCGTACATGAATGCCGGCCATGAATTCTCAGACACGATGAAGGAAATTGTACGGTCGCGAATGCCAGCCCTGATGCTGGACTCGGAATATTAGTGAGATGTGAGCGACGAAGACCATCACTTACATCAGATCTCCCCAGCGCCATTCCGCTGGGCAAAGTAATTGACCGCATGCATCGTGCACAAAACCCCGATGATGTTTGTTGTCCGCTCTAATGAGGGGAGTCGCATTACACTCAATATTCACCCATGACGCCACGAGCTCTTTGAGAGTTCCGGTGTCGTCACCACGAGCTGAATCTGCGCCCCGCTTGAGCTAAATGGAAAATGAGCAAGAAGTGAACAAACTGGTGTCGGAAAGTACCTTTCTGAGCATGTCTTCCAACTCTTCAGTGGTCAAGACATGACAATTTTTCATGAAGCCACGGCAATACTTTAATGAATTCAATATAGCCACGTTGGAGGCGGTTTTGGCTGTTCCTTTTCATAAACAAACATGAGGATATGAACAATGATACTACTCACTCCGGAGTGGTGTCGCTGTCTGCGTTTTCTTCACAACACTGGTCATTTTCGGCAATGAGATCCTCTATGGGAGTGTAAAGGACCACCATCCGGCGAATTGCTCGTCCCTGTGAAACGTAATAGGTCGTCTTCCTAGTGACAATGAGACACTGAAACTGCTTTCAGTGGTTGAGAAAGGAGGTGCGCACCTTTGCTTTGTCGCTTTATCTTGCTTCAAAATTTCGACCTCCTCCATGAGGGCGGCAATCTTGCGCTTCGCCCTAGCATGAGGGGATGTTTGGACACAAAGGGATGTGTTCGAAGAAGGTGCATTCTCAGACGACATGCCAGAGATTTGAAGTGGGGTGAACGAAAGAGTTCAACCTGCGAGGCCGTCTTATATACTTGCCGAAAGCTCTAATGACCTTGTGATCACGTGAAAATCTCTCATGAGTTGTTCTCGAATAAGTAGAAGAGACTCGCCTTACTTGGTAGTTTGTCTCAAGTCCGTTTTGGTGATCCGTAGTAGCCCGTGTCAAGCCTGTTTTTGGATTAGTGTCAGAAACCCTGAAATTTGCAAGACAGGCATACAACGTGCGGAGTGCCCTTGGTAATGAGTTGCTGCTTGTAACCTAAAGTAGTAGTCACTTCATTGCCATCTATACAAATAATGTTCTGTCAACCAGTTAGTGAGTCGACCGGCCAAAATGTTCACTTTAAAGTCTCCCCGACTCTCGTAATCAGAAAAGTAAGTATCAGTGGCCTTCACGACAGCGATGACAGGATCCAAATGATTTTCACTTCCTTGCATTTGACACAAGGCGACCACAGTCAAGTGCGCGACATTGCCAAAACAGATGCGATGCTGCAAGGCTTGTTAGTAACGATTGCGATCAGTGAGAATAAAGTTATCATTCCTACTAACGACTCAGTAAGTGAATGTGGGCACCAACATTACTATTGATGTACCTTTGAGGCGGTTCAGCTCAATGCGCTTAACTTGCTCGGGTGTCAGAAGCGAGTTCTCGGCAGTGGAAAGCATAGGAGAAGCATTCCGGATTAATGCTTGAGACCTCCGGTGATTGATTGCTAGCTTTACTAAGGGTCGGAGACGGTGTTTCCATTTCATATGACAAAGACTCGAGTTCTACGGATTAGGAAGTTGGTATTTTTACCACTGATGTGAGCGGTCAACTATTGGCAATACATCCCATGCACTGTCTGCGCGTTTTCCTGGTATTCGACTAATATATTGGCAACATAACGACAGCAATGATAACAAGCAGTCAGTCGAAGCAAATCATCAACTTTCTACACTTGTGCACGTAGCATCGTTCGTTTTTGGCAACTTATCGCCCGAGTAATGACTCCTGTCGTGCCATTGGCAACGACCGGTTCGATAGGTGTAGGCCCGCTTTCTGTGGTCATTGGAGTGTCGACTTCCATCGGCAAATGTCCGCTCAACACGGAGCGAACCATCGTGGTGTGTGCACTAGGACCAGCCATGGGTCAAGCCCGCAGCACCCGAACTCAAGATGCCCACACCGATACCAAACCTCCTTCCACCAGCAATGTCCGCATCGCTTGAGCAATATCTGGCAGTTTGATGAACATTCCAGCACCTTCCAAATACCCTCCAAATCCATACCTGTCATATGAATACCGGGAGGCTTTCCCAAATGTCGCAGATGTTCGAGTACAATATTTTGACACGTTCCAGGTACTCTGGTGCATTCATATCCCCTGTATTTGACGTAGTCCGGTCCAAAATACTCGTAGTATTCATCCACGGGTATTTCTAGATCATGTCAGTACGAGGTGAGAGAACTGCACTGAAAAAAGGCCAACCCAGTAGTACGGAGGCTTGTTGAAGGACTTCACAAATTGACACGGTTGGCATGCCCTGAATGTAAGTTCAAACAAGTCAAGGGTGACACTTTTGGTCATACCTTGCATAGATAGGTTTAGGCAGCCGAGTTTGCCGACAATGACTCCGTTCCAAATTGAAGAACAATAGCCGACGGGTCATACGATTCCATGACCTCACGAATCACCTGTATTGAAAACTTGTAGACGTTAGCTGGAAAAGAAAACATCACTCACAGGTTCGAACACTGATTTATAGTTTTCATCCGAGAATCCATCGCGCAATGGGAAGTTGGGAAAGTAATATCCTCCTTCACCTATTCCTATGTCCTGATAGGTGTCAACAATATTCCATCAACAAGACAAGATGACGCTGACCCGCAATTCGCCAGTTCCTGGAAAATACTCGCCATATTTGTGGAAACTGGCCATCATGACCCGATCTGTGAATGCTTCTTCTGCCCCGTCGCCATGATGAACATCAATATCAATGTAAAGGACTCTGGTATGATACCTGGTGGGTTCCGATCATCAGGACCATGACATGATTAGACTCTGCAATTGAAAAGCCCCTTACCAGAACAACTCAAGAATGCTCAACAATGATGTCTGCGGCATGTAATTAGCGTGAAGATGACTGTTGCAGAAAGAGTTTGTAGAGTTGGTTTCGTCCTGTTCAGGGCAAATAAACCGTGTCACAACCTTTGGCTTGATAGACAACCATAACTCACGGGTTGCCCAGGACCATAGTGGGAACCCCCGATGAGTCCGAGTCGAAGAACTAACACTGACAGGGAGGTAAGC